CTGCAGAAAGCAAAAACAACTGCATGCAAATAAAACTACAAACTATGGCTGCACACAGTAACTACAACGCTTCAGACCACCAGGGAAAGACGATCATCAACTTATATAGGACCAGAACATAGTCATTGCTCAGAATTAAAATCCATAGCAAAAATATAAATGACATCCAGGGAACATCTGGAAAGAAGACAAAAAGAAAGAAAAAAGAAAGAAGAAAAGCTTTTCCTTAAATCTGTTTGCAATGAATTAATAACAGTCACCCCTCCTAGTGGTCTGTAGTACTTCTATTATGCAGTACTAATTTCAGCTTTTTCTTAACTTGTATTTGCTACTGGCAGTATTTTCTGTTTTCACATGTTATGTTTGGATGTGTTTTAGAATTTAGCATTGGTAGTTTAACTTTTTTTGTTTGCTTCTCTGAGTTTGAAAAGGTTTGCAGAATCTTTGTATTTGCAATGAGAAATCTGTTAACACCCCTCTGCTACCCTAGTTTTGTAAATCAGAGAAGAAAGTGCAGCTATGTACCATTTGAAGTTGATGGACTTTTACATGGTAAAGTAAAAAAAAAAAAAAACGTCATAACTTTCATAAAAAGCCACAAAAAAAAAGCTATGGACGCACTGTATAAACTGTATATATGCCATGCACCTTTTTCTTCCTTTTGCACCTTCTTCTTCTCTTTTTAACTATTTGAGCTGATGTAATGGGTACATTTCTTCACTCTGAGATCAATAAAGTCAATAAATAAATAAATCAATCAAAGCAATAAATGTTGTAGTTTTGTAGTACAGTAGGTGAACCTGCTCACTGTGTTAGAATATTTTGGAAAAAAGCAAAGGAGTCCACTATATTTTGTTATTTTAATAGATCATATTAACATTTATTTATTTATTTATTTATTTTATTTTATTTATTTTATTTATTTATATGTTTATTTATCAGATTGTGTCTAAGCCTGCCTGCTTTGTAAACCTTGAAACTAGCTTTCTGTTGTATTCTTCTGCTTTATTATATTTTCTTTTTTCCTCCTGAAGATTTTTCCTCTGCTCCAGCTGTGGTTCCTGTACTGAACAGTATGTACCACTGCCTGCAGCTGATGTAGCTAGTCCACATAGACATATGCTGGTAGAGAGATAGACAAGGTTGTAGGCGTGCTGTTCTTCTAGTGTAGAGCTGGTTGTAGCCTCAGCAAAAACTTGTCCTTTAAAGCTGTACTAATACAATCTCAGAGATGATCTCTTGTTTCAAACAGTTTAGAAATAGAAGCAAAAGTGGTTTTTAAGGAATGATAGTAGTTATCACTTAAAGTTATAGATCCTGCTCTGCTGATCAGACTGGGCTTTAGACGCAGTGATGCTGCTGCAGTAAAAGTTTGTTTAAACACACTTTTTCTTACATCAGCAATTTAATATATTCAGATATGCTCGCTTGTTAAATATGCTACCTGACAGGGTTGCTGCAGAAATCCAACATCTAGGGGTTCTCTTTCAATGTGTTACTTGATGGAATCTATTTCCAACACTTGTACTTTTTTTCTCTAATTCAGAAACGTCATCAGGATAGATGCAGTTATTTGAACCTGTTTCTATATCTTTCCTTGGTAAGCAATGTCAGAAAAATATATATATATTTTTAATTCAGAATTAAGAACGTAAGCAATGTCATATTCCAATTGGTAGATCTGCTCTTCATAGGTGTCAATCCAGCTCCTCTCTATAACATTAAGTCCCAGAGTTAGCTTTTAAACTGTCTTCTAGAAGGGTTTCTGTGAGATGTCCTGGTTTCAAGCAGCGAGGGGATCATGTTTTTCTTTACTAATCCTCTTTTCCTGCCATCTCTCCTTTTTTACTGTGCCTGTGTGGTTTCCTTTCCTCCTCCTGCTCCTGTTTCTTCTCCCCTTTATCAGTTCCAGCACTGTTCAGCATAAGCTCTTATGTAAGTGAGACCTTTGCCAAAATCAGCTGGACTGCCAGAGAAGAGCAGGGCATCTCTCAGCTTTATGTGGCTTATATTAATAACAGTAAGCTTCTCCTCCTGTCTCAGCCATTGGTAAATATTGATAGGAGAATCATATCTTGGTATATCTTGTAACTAAAAATATTTTTTTTCTTTCCTAGTTCTCTAACTAGCTCCAATTGTGTTTAAACATTCTTAAAAGTGTTTTTACTTTAACTAATGAATTTGGTTGTTTAATTGTTGGGAATGACTCTCATCCATAATCTTTGATAATGTAACAGCTAGTGCTACCCTGAGTGTGCCTGGCTGTTCTGGTGATGGAAACCAGAACTCCTTCAAAGCTTTTGAAAGCTTTTAGATTATTGACAGAAATAAATCAGTCTGCTTCTGTCTCCTTGAACCCCAGTCGGCCTCGGCAGATGGCCGCTCACACCTGGTTCTGCTGGAGGTTTCTTCCTGTTAAAGGGGAGTTTTTCCTCTCCACTGTCGCTACAAGCATGCTTGGTGTGAAGTATTGCCTTCAAGTCAATGAGTCGACCCAATCAACTGGGTTTCCTTAGATAGAAAACTTTGAATCAATTTGACTGTATGATCTGGTTGAATTGTAAAGTTCCTTGAGATGACATGTGTTGTGAATTGGCGCTATGTAAATAAATAGATCGAAACTGAACTAAAACCTCGGAAAGAACACACTGTATGCCTTAAGGCCAAGATGCTCACTCAATATAAAGAGCATTTTTAAAGTCATTATCCAGGAATGTGACAAAGGTGAGGGAGAAAAACAAGGAAGCATTCTTAAGCTGGGCATACAGTGTAGGATTTTATACAGTGTAGCCTCTCGTGACCACATCCCCTTCAGGAATTGTAAGTTTGGGTGAAAATCAAGCATGTTTGAAATTCAGTCGGCTGTCGTAAGGTGTTCGTGGGCAAATCAGCAGTGTGCATGTGCAAACAAGGGGGTTCTTCTTGTTTTTCTCAAAGGTTCATGAGTTCGACCAGTGCCATCTCACTTCGCTGAGTCCAACGTGTGGTTTTTTGGACGTACAGTGTGAGGTAGATTGTATCAGAGCGTCGGGCCGCACAGTGTGAGAACATACATCGTGAGCTGTGAACTTTTAAACCCTGCAGTTTCGTCATACAGTTTTAGCTGTAGCTGAGTAAAAATGATTGTCAGAAAATATTGTACAGTGTATGCCCATCTTTAGCCCCTAAAGATGAGCTAAAGTATCACAAACGAGATAAAATCAAGGTTCTAACATCTCCATAGTCATATCACCTACTATGCTTTGCTAAAACAATGACTGAGCAAACTGGTATAATGTGAGTGGCTAGTTTTATTTTATAACAAAACTACAATTTTAGAGATTAAAGTAATTATCAGTTTATTTTGATAAATAGCTTTAATACATGATGGTATATTTCAGACAAAAATGAACATTAGTCTCAGACTATAGTAATACAAAGTATTTGTATCATACCTTAACCCAATTTACCTACTGAAGCACTAAACCACTCAATTTGATAGCGTTCAGGTCATGCCTACTGAATTGCGTTTTTTAATTATTATTATTATTTAAAGGATGATGTAACGCCCTTCCTAATGTTCTAAATGGGGTTAGAAGAACATAAAAATCATATGTTTCCACAGATATCATTGTCATTATTTCAATGTTAACAAGTATTTGAAAATAATTACATTTTTACAAAAAGAAATATTCCTCATCTTCCTCTGTGACATTATTTCAGTGCTGCCTCTGACAGTTATGTCAGAGTGGTGCTCTGTGATGTGGTTTTGGGGAGAAAGATGATTCATGCTGAGCAATACACCTTTTCTTAATGCAACAAAAGGGATCATCTCTGTCTCTTTCCAAAATGGTTCTGAATAACATGAGGAACAGAGGATGACCATGGTTTCCTGCCAAGCCAAGTGTGACATGACAGCGTGCATGTAAAGCATCAAACATACACCATCTAAACCTCCCGGTCTATGTCAACATAGGCTTTTATTCTTATCTGTAGGATGTCATGATGACAAACACTCTAATAGACAAGCTAGACTAGTTCTGATTTTTGTTTTGAGCCTCTTTTAAATGATCCCTGTCACTTAATATCTTTCTCACAGCATATCATAAATATTAAGCCTTTTTTTAACAGATGAAATATTTGAGATCCAGTTCTCATTTACCAAAAGACAGGCCATGTTTTTAGATCACAACCTTATCTCTATTGAAAGCTTAAATCAGCCTTAATCAAAATCACATCTTTCAGAATCGGAACCTAAAAACTAGTCTGAAATGGACCGTGAGTAAAGTGGGCATCTATTAGATTTATTTTGTTTACATAGTCCACGTATATAAAACATGTCAAGTCAAAGTATTGTACAATATTTGGTTAAAATTGGTAAGAAGAAATAAGTGAAACCCTGCAGATTTTTATTGAGTCATAGTTGTGCTGCATTCATTCCTCCAGGATGAACATGTAGCACCAGCTACATTGTGTTTTTGACTTCCATCATACTGAGCTTTTCCTTCCTTAGAAAAGGAGATGGCTGATACACGACATATTGTATGCAAGTTGCATTCCTTTTCAAATCTCTTTCGGTTTCACGATTGCGGCTCCATTTGTAAAAGCTTACATCTCTATCAAACATGGCCGGGTCGGTTGAATATTTCCAAACAGTCCTTGGCAGATGATAGAGGAGCCCTTGTAGCTACATGAACTGTTTTGTGGAAAAGCTATTGTCAGCAGAGTTTCCGTGATTAAAGATCTAATGATGCCTGCACTTCACTAACAAACTGACTCTGGGGTTTATTTGCTCTGCCAAATGTTGATTTGTTTAGATTTTTTTTCTGTGAAAAATTCTCTTAGAAGTGACAGCGTGTTATAGATGAGGGGAAAGTAAGTAATGCAATGTGAAAGTATCCTCTCAAACCGAAGTGAATTATGCCTGTGCTTAAAGACAAGGGTTTCTCAGAGCTAAATAAACAAAATGCTGACTTTTGAAGATTATTGAGCTCTTGGTGTCTTGCTCTTTCTGTTTTCAGATTTGGAAAGCAAAGAACCCAGCATTCCAACGCAACGCTGGCTCATTGGGACGCTGTGTGCTGTCGCATTACTCACCCTTGTTGCAGTGATCGTGTGCTTTGTTATGAAAAACAAAGGTGGCAAATATGCAGGTATGCTGGCACGCCAGGAACAAGACATGCTCTCCAAGGGAAAAGGTCAGTTAGCTTTGTCCAGAAGAGATCCCTTATTATTCTCTGCATGGGAATTTCTGCAGCTGAAAAAAACATCCAGTCGCTTAACTCTGATTGCAGCCTTGCTTGGAGATGCCCAACAAACAGTGCTTTGCAAAAATATTAAAACTCCTTGACAAGTTTCATGTATTGTCATGTAACAACCACAAAAACAACAAACATTTGAAGTGTGCCATGCATTAGCATTCAGTTTCTTTCTCTCTTTATATTCAGAATAACCACTTGAATTAAGATGTGGTCTAACCTGTAAGTAGACTAGATGTATGCTATTTAATCTGTAAAACTGCAGCTGGCCTATAATGCATTAAGGATCTAAGCTTTAAAGGTCTCATGGAGGATTGTTCATTTTATCGTTAGCAAATTTAATGGCCATGGATCAAATAGAGGGCTGACATCACCATCAACCTAAAAACTTACAGGTTTGGCAAAGGGAGCAGCAAAGGTTTTGGAGGAGCAGCAAAGTTCCAGAGCTTAGAGGGGAAAAAGCAAGAATATTAGTTGTTATAGAAGTAACAGCATGTTGTGCATGTGATAAAATTGCGGAGGGAGTAAATAATTTCAATGTTTTAAGTCTGCAAACTCTATATTTAAGTCTATATTTAGACTATATTTGGGTTTTCTTAAAGGGGTCTGCAAAGGACTGAAAAAAGTTTTCTGTTTGTCAACAAAATACAATATAAACTGATTTTAGTGTCTATGGACACTTTAAACATTATTTTTCAATGTATTTACAAAATTGTGATCTCTGCTAAGTTTAACTGATCATTAGAAAAAGGATTAATGAAGCCCAGGTGTGTTTTCAGTCTGAAAACTTGCCAAGTCATACCTGCTCATCCAGACTGCCATGTCATCTGGATCTACCATACCTCTGCCAATCTCCTGCTCTCCAAGCCTCTTCAACAACCATTAGCATCCTAATCTCTGCTTTCTAAGCTGCTCCATCAGGGTCAAGATCATGCCTCCAACCAGCTGCAACCCACTTCTACCCCCATCACTGCCCTGGTCTAGCTCCTCTATAGTTCAGCTCCCTTTCTCCTTCATCTTCCAGTCCACTGCCCGTGCACAGGCCCCGAGGGGAAGACATTTCCATTCACATAAATCTGACCATATCATCATAATCAGATATGCTCAGATCTATGCCCTGTGCTGGGGTCTGAGCGACAAAAACATATTATTGTTAAGGACAATATTGTTATATTATATTAAGTCATGTAAATAAACTCTAATTGCCTTCCTATCTCTTTGTGAGTCTCTCTAGGATGAAACTGTATCACCTACATAAAAATAATTTGTAGGTTAAAAAAAATAAATGGTGGACACACATTTCCCACCATCACACATGATGGTGACAGCATCATGCTGTCGGGAAAGGCCCACCTAGAAGGAATAGAAAGTTTGTCTTAATTTATCAAAAAATAGACAAAAAATAAAAAATCCATAAAAATGCACTTGAAAGAAAAAAGGGAGACATTAAAATGCTGGAAACTGAAATAGTGTTTAGCCTTCTAGATAGAAAACACACCTAAACCAACAGCCAAATCTGCCCTACAAGGGGTTGTATGATTAGAATGGCTTAAGTGTAGTTCACATTTAGGATCTATGTCAGGACTTAAAAATAATAGACTGTGTTTTTTTAAGTTAGTAGATACATACCCCAAAAGACAAAAGGTGGTTCTACAAAGTGTTGACTAAGGAGGAGCTGAACTGATAAGTGTGCATTACTTTTCTGAATTGTTATATTAAAAATATTAAGAAATTGTTTTCCCTCCATTTAAGAATTATTGAATACTTTGTTTTTTTTCTATCATAATAAAAGAGTATAGAGTTTTGTAGTTGTTACATGAAACAATGAAGCAAGGTACAAGTTTTTCTCACTTATTTCTACTTTTAAAGGGGACTTGAGCTGGGTCACTATGGACCTGGATCACCATGTATTCGAATAGTTCCAGACCATGGATCATGCATACTATTTCTGCATCTGCTCTAGTTTCCTTGCAAATTGAACACTGGAAGTTGTGCCATCCTGCTAGTTCTGCTTGGCAAAAATGATTGCATTTCTCATCCAGCATGGGAAGTGAAAATAAGCACTCTTTGTTCCCCTGTTCCCTATCCCTCACCTATGCAATCTTTTGTTACTCTTACCTTGTACCCCTTTTCCTGCCCAGTATCAAAGCCAGTTTTCATCTCATAGTGTTTTGTCCCTATAAATTGTCTCTTTCCCCTTCCACCCTGCATTCTCTACATATGCCCACCATACCTTCAATGCTTCTTTGCCTGTAGTGTTTGACAAGAAGTACTGAATATTTCATCAGCTTCTTTGGATAGCCCCTTTGTCCATCTAGCTCTTTTCACAAAACCCATTTCTTTTGTCTGCCTCAAAAGCAACTGTTATTTTCAGAGCGTGTTTACCAGGGTAGAAGCCAGCACTTTGTGCACACATGCAGAAGAGGTGCTCTACATTTTAAAACTTTATGTAATGCACACAGAATATGCAAGGGGTGATATATATTTATGTCAAATCTTGAATTTGAGCAATTCAATTGAATTAAATTTAAGCTATGCATAATCCATATACCAGTGTCATTCATTGAGAGTGTGTAAATATATATATATATATATATATATATATATATATATATATATATATATATATATGTGTGTGTGTGTACATTTATTTTTAGCTTAAATCTCAGACTTTTGTGCTCCATTAGTACTGAGCTGCACTGACTCTAATTGTAGGAGTGAAACAGTCTTGTTACACAATATCTTTTCTTTTTCAGTAAAAGGGAAGGAAGATCTCTTTACTGATGCAGAGTCACAAGGAATGAATGATGACGCCTATGAATACAGGTGAGTTACATCCTGCCGCTACTGCTACTGCTGCTGCTGTCCAGATGTGTGGTGATGAAGTTAATTCATCTCCTTGACATGCTTTATGTTCTAGCAGCACAGCATGGAACAACCACAGATGTGAATGGAAAAGATAGTACTGTTAAATCACAGCTTTGTTTTTTCCCCCTTACTATCCTAAAAGCAAACCGCGCACTCACGACGTTAACCAGGATCAACCTGAAAGCCAGTGTACTCATCATTTAATGGGCTAGGTAATCACAAAGTGTACTTAAGAGCAGTGGATAACCCTCGGCTTAAGCTTTGTTCCCTTTAGCTGGCATTATGTGTTTTCACTCAGTAGTTAGATTTGTTTTGTGTGCATGTTCCTTCTTTTTAGACTGCTTTCCTTCTTGTGCATGTAGGCTATGTTAATGTTTGTGTGTTTGTGAATTAGAGTTAAACAGTCAGCGTTTTGCCTGCTGGAATATATGGAATTTTTATATATTTCAACAGAATCTATTTAAAAAATTGTACCACAATATCAGCCTTTCATGTCAGTCCACAATGAAAATTATTGATTATATTTTGCATATTAAAGGTTAAGAGGCTAAATCCTTTTTTTCTGCCAGTATCCCTCAAAATACCATGTGGGTCTGGATCAGAGTTCCTTGGAATAAAGAAAAATAAGATCTGACATATTTTCTAATGATTTCTTTCTTTCTTTCTTTCTTTCTTTCTTTCTTTCTTTCTTTCTTTCTTTCTTTCTTTCTTTCTTTCTTTCTTTCTTTCTTTCTTTCTTTGGCCTCTGTAGCATGTAATAATGTTGTAGTAGAGTCTGCATTGGGCCCTCTTGGTAACATGAAGTATGCATGCAAGGTTATGATTTTACAAAAAGAGTGTAGAAATCACCTCAATAAATAAAACTGAAATAAAACCCCATTTTTACACACGTCAAATCTATTCATATGTCCTTCAGCTTAGTTTTTTTTTTTTTTTTTTTCAGTTAGAAACATCTATGATTGCTGCTACAGTCGGAAAACATGTTTTTTCTAATGAAACCAAGCTTGCTTCAACTCTCCACAGCACTCTCAAAAGCCCCAGAGTGCAAATTAGCATGCGCACCTGCTAATTCTGATTAGAACCAGAGCAAATTAATACTAGGAATTTCTGGAAAGTCATCTGATTTTAGGCAGGCTTCCAGATAATCACTTATCCATTGTACTAAAAAGTCAGATGTTTTAACTCAAGCTAGATGTTTTAACTTAACTGGTTGGACAGCTTGTTTATTTATGTTTTTATTTTTACTTAAGTTGTTATTTACAACAATTATCATAGAAGGTTGTGCAGATTTAGATTATCACACTTGTAAACAATTGCAACAGATATGACTGAAATTACCAGAAGGAAAAGTAAAATCCCAAAAATGCTGACTGCATTGCTAAATAAATATAAACAAATAGGATAAAAGGACAATTTGCACTGAAGAGACATTTGGATCACAAAACACAATTAGAGATTATTACATGGATATGAAGGGTAACCTTCTCTATCCAGGATCTACTTTGGTTTCAGTACTGCCTGATACAGACAGGCTTTATAACACTGTATTTCTGCCTCACACTTGGCAACTGCATATTTACCTAAAACGATTTCACATTGTGAGTCAGAGAGTATTATGTGAAATATACTTAGCTGAGACCACAATGGAAGAAGCTTTCACTGCAGATTCACAGGTCTTAGATGTATGTAGTGTCTGCCCTTTAGTGAAGCAGGCATAAGCTAAGCATTAGACGCACTATAAAACTAGGCTTTCTCAAGCAGACAGCTGTTGTATTGTAAAATGTCTTTTGAATTTCTATTGTTCACATTGTTTAGCTACTATAATGGCAGCAATGGGGAATTCAATGAACCCTATTTTCTTGGATTGCAGTGCTGCAAACAGAGTAACAATAGGATGTTTATTGAAGGAGAAATCATCTGAAATAGCCTCCTCTGTCTGCCTATTGGGCTTGTTATTATACTATTCAGGACATTATTACTCATAATGATGTGACTTCTGCAAAGTTATTAATTCTTTAATGCTATGATTATAAATGTACAATTCTCTCACACAGTAAATTGTGTCAATAAACTTAATTCTGGGTTACAATATTATATATTTAGAAGGAAGTTTAATATGCAAAAACTGTTTTGGACAAAAAAGAGAATAAAATAATGGTATAATAATAATTAATATCATGTTGAAAGAATTAATTGGATTAATCATGATTAATCGATTATTGAAATAATTGTCAACTAATTTAGTAATCGATTAATTGTTAATTGGAGTATAGAGACTGTAAAATATGTTTTTAGCTGTCAGAGCAACAAAGTTAGTGCTCTAATTATATCAAAATTGTAAAAAAAATATATATATGACAATTTTGCATTTAAGATAAAAAAAAAAAATGTTTTCATCTGTTAATATGCTCTATCCAGAACCCATCAAGTGGAAAAGTTTCAGTTTAACCTGTTTAATTTTGGAAAAAATATTTTTTTTTTAAGGAACCTTTGGCTATCCAAAATCCAAAATAATCATTGAATGCAGCCCTAATTAATATAAATATATACCACTGGAATGTTACACTTATGAGATTTTGTATGAGTGACCATTATAAATCTGTGCATCACAGTGAATTTGAATGATACACCTTTTTTTTAGATAAAATTTAATCAGGCAAGTGAGCTGTGCATTCAGCCCCTTGAATTGGTACTATCTGTTGGTACTGCAGATCCTTGCAGGTATGTCCTGAGAGAGCCTTTGAACACCACTTTTAGAGTCTTGCAGAGTCTTTCTGTTGCATTTAGGAGTGGAAAGTGAACAATGGCCCTCATGTAAAATAATTTAGTGCCTCAAAAGGGTCTCTGTAAAGGTAGTTCTAACTTTAGTGACTACACAGTAATTGTGTCCTCTCTGACAAAAGTGTATTTAGTGTGTACTGTGGGCTAAAACATCCTAATATTGTCTCATCTGAACAGAGCTCTTTCTTATACTTTTTTCAAGTTTATTTTGCTTTATTTTTCCCCCCCACATGAGCTACAGATCTCTGAAGCTCCTCCTTAGTGATTGTACACCTTTTAGCCACTGTTCTTGTTTAGCCTGTCAGTGTTTATTGGTTTCCTTTAATTATATGAAAATTTACTTTTGTAAGATGGCCTATCTAATGATTTTTTTTTTAAAGATAAATCAAATTTGTCTTGGGAATATGACAAAATGTATTTCAAGTGGTATAATATTTATTATAACTCTTAAACCCTGTATGAAGATAGCATTGATATTGTGTTATAAGGAGCTGTTACATTCTCAGGAGATGAGAATTTGTTAAAGAGCATTTGCAGATACTGCTTAGAATGCTTCTCATGGTTTGTTTCATGAGGTTGGTTGCAGTACTGTCCCCCCAGAGTGCCCTTAGCCTTGCTGTGATGTTGTTTGGCTGCCTTCAGAGCTAGTTTCAGGGCTCTCTTGTGCCCTTTGAATCTCCAAAGGCAATAGACCACCCACTGGTATCCCATGTGTCTGGAGAGCTGACAAGTGGTAATTATGCTTCTGATGCTTTCTCTTTTGAAACCTCCATCTACGCCTTTTGCCCCTCCATCCACTGCAAAAACAGCAGGTGTCACGACTGCACCAGGTTGTTTGACTCATATAATTGTTGTTTTTTCCCCCTCACCTTTGAATAAATATCCTGCTACCTAATGTGCAATTTTGGAAAAGGTAATATGTGTGCAAAAATGTTTCTCCTGCTATTTGTGTTTTATTTTTCTATTATGTTGGGGGTTTTTTTTTTTTAAGACTTTTGAAGTTTTTGAATATAAGATTGAAAAAGACACATTGAATTCCTGCCATCGACCCAAAATCAGGCCAAGATGTGTACCTGGGAAGACATAAATGATTACTTTTATTGCCTCCATTTACCCATTTGTGAAACAGATTTTTTTATTGAAACAGGAGCAGGATATAACAAATTGAGGTCCAGAGTAAGCTGGGGCTCAACGACTCAGCCCCATTTTATCACAGATTTCAAAGTCACTGTAGGTGGGCAAATGCGGCAGTGGCATTTCACCGCTCTCAGATAGCAGCCACTTATCTTCAGCGCTCTAGAGACGTCAGACAAAGAAGGTTCGATAAGGAAAAGCCCAGGAAAAAGAAGGTTGTAATGTGGACCTTATGTGACCTGCATCCTAAACAGCTTTACAAAGTAGCCCAGATAAGATTGGCTATTAAAAGTCCCTTTGAAGGAGACTCAAAGTGTAATCTTTGTCTTTGACGAGTCTCTCGTGCTTGAATTCCTACTCACAATTTGTGGGTTCTTTGTGATTCAGGTGTCAACTGCAATAGGCCTCAGTGAACACTATAACATATGAGCCGCCTGAGTATTTGCCAGCGTCAGTTTTTTGTGTTTTGAATACAAAACCAAAGTAAAAAAGTGGTGTTATAAAAAATGATAGTTTGGAAGACTTGGGGGAGCGAGAAAGGCATAGAAGGAGGAATATCAGTGTTTTGAGGTGACCCCATGCCTAAAAAAAAAGACACCTGCGAGTTGGCCACTTGCCCGGCGGTAAATTGGCATCTAATCTCCTCGACTCGTGCATGAGCCCCTGGGAATACCAGGAATGACAGGTTGTTTGTCTGGGATTGCATACACGCCACCTCTTCTCCCCTGTTCTGCCGTCTACCAGACTCACTGCTCTTCCACAACAGACACAAACCTTGCACTTGGCATCTTACTCACTTCAGTCTGGCAATCTCTGCCGCTGACTCTAAAGAGATTTTAAATTGCCTTTGGTCTTGAAGCCCCTGCAATTAGCAATTAGTGAAGTGATTGTAGAAAGCCCTCCTTGCCCCTGTGTGCTCTTTTTCCTGCTGAGCAGTTGCTGCATCTATCCCTGCCTTCTGCATGTAGTTATATACTGTATTTGGTTGTTTGTTTGCTGTGGTTTCTCTTTCTACTTTTTGATTTTACACAGTTATCTCCATCTTTAATGAAACCCCTAATAAAGACTAAGAATCAACCTCGAAATATGTTTTTTTTTTAATTATCATTTTTTTCTTTTCTTTTCCTTTCTTCTTCTTTTTTTTTTTTTTTTTTGCAGTGGCATGATCTCAGACCAAATTTCTTTTAAAAATTCCTTCTTTGACCTTGAGATTGTACTGAAAAACTCCAACACATTCAATCAATGATTTTGTATTAAAATAGTCAGTGCCAATTTTTTCCGAACCCTTTCTATCAATACTATAAAATATACTTTTTCCCTGCAAGATTTCACGAGGTTGGCACATGCATAGAGGATCGTCATTTTTCATCTTTGCAGTCTCTCTAGAACATCCAGAGTATTGGGTAATCTCTAATCCAGAGTTTTTGAGTATATTAGTTAATATTGTGGGGGAAAAAAAATCTTATAAATATTTTTCACAAAACTACAAGTGACAAAGTTAGTAGTTTCTATAAATATTCCAATACAATAAATGATATAATGGAACTAAAATGCTACTCAGCAGTATTTTCTATATGTCTTATTTTTTGCTGATTTTTAAATAAGTAAGACACAATTATCTTTTCCTTGTATAAAGTCAACAAAATACTAGCTATGTTTCCATTAATCATCAAATTGTGCAAATTCTAGTGAAAAAACAAAACTTTTTTTGAAACCCCCCCCACCACATTTTTCAAAAAAAAGTTTTTACGCTTTAATGTGATGGTTTTTTTGGGCTTATATTTGGCAAGAATGCAATGGAAACACTTTTATTGCATTACACGACTCACTAGTGATAAGCAAAAAAAAAAAAAAAGAAATATTAGGAGGAGGATGGCGTGGCATATTTGGATTCATAAGCAGTTGTTTTTTAGTTGTAAATGTATTTCTTATCAATTGAAAACACCACAATTTAATTTTCGCAATGCGCAGAATATTTATATTGTTTTTGATGGAAACACAGCTACAGATGACTTACCAGGGCTTGATATGAACTTGACCTGATGACTTTCCAAAGTGACTAACCAGTCAGCAGGTTACCTAGACACGTTTTTGCTCAGCTAATGAAGATATTGTATGATCTACTGCATGCCTGTAAAACCTAAAGGTCGTCTGTTTAATAAAGACTTTCTAAAATACTAAATATACATTTTTGTTGCACTAAATGCTCTTAAGGAACAAATTTGTACTAAGAGCTACAAAAGAAGCAGCAAACTCATTACATTAAACATTTTAATGGAAGCTTCTCATTCTTTATAAAATGATCCCTGAATAATGTACCCTCAAAAAATCAATATTTAGATTTTATAATACAAATGCTACCTGCTTTGTAAAACATTTTTCTCATATCTTTGCTATTTTTCAAAATCGCAAAAAAATGAGCATTAGGTCAGAAATACCATTGATTTCTAATTGCATGTCCTTAAAACACTTTAAGCAAATTAAACAGGTACGGTATGAGTAATAGGAAAGTTTCAATTAAATAAATGTTTTTGGAGTCATTAGTCATGCTCCTATTGGTGGCCACAACTGAAGTTGTACAGTGATAAATTTGATCTTTTGTCCCCCACAGTATAAATGTAATCATAAGATTGTAATTTATGTACATTATTCAGTGTAAGATAAAACTACTAACATGAATGATTGATCTATTTTGAGTCTATTTTACACATCTAGGGTGTCAGAAGTGCCAATGGTATTTCTATAGTGCTGTATGTGCATGTGTCTGAGGTTGTGTGTCAAAAACTGTTATATATACATTTTTTTATTGTATGTTTTGGTTTGCCGTGAGATTTACCACCTTGTGCCACTAACCACAATTTTTCTTTTTTGTTGTTAACCATGGCAGTGACAACGATGAAAAGCCACTGAAGGAAACCATCTCAGGTCCCAAAGAGGAAACAGGCTGGGATGGTGTCAGCAGAGACAGCTTGGTTGATTACGCAGGCGAAGAAGGAGAATTCAATGAGGATGGTTCATTTATTGGAGAATACGCTGAACCCAGATACCGGGATTCTATCAGTGAGCCCAGTGGACCCAGCAGTGTCACTACATAAATCCACTTCAAATAGCCTTTATCACTTTCTGACACAATACTCGTGCAACTTCTGCAACCACTACTTTAAACCTAGTCTAAGTGACCAAACACGGTAAAATAGAATATACTCAGGTATTAACTGTTTTATTGCTGGTATAGTTTTTGTCTGTTTTTCTAAGGGAAGAGTGCTTCTCTGCCATACAAATCAGTGTGCTGTCACATAGGAGTCTGTACATTTTGTAATAGAACAAATATTATATTAGAGTTGTTTATTTTGGCCTTGACAATATGTTGCTTTTATACCAACCAGCCTAAATCGAAACACTTTTTCTACATCATCATACTGCATTGGAAATGGAAGAACCAAAAGTTTTTAAATAAATAATATTAATAAAAATAACAATAAAAATTTTAACATTCACATTCTTTTTTTACACATACATATACAGGGTACTGTTATGTGCTACCAGAAATACTTTCCTTTCTTCTTAATTCCTTTGTTCTGTGTCTTATTTTGACCTTTGAAATGTGACTTTTAAGAAACAAGTGTGTAAACACTGAAATATGCAATTTACTACTGTATATTTTCTTTTTATATTGATCCTATCCCAGGACACAACAACAGATATGTAAGAAAAATGCAAAAATGTATATAAAATTATGTCTAAGTCTTCTGAGCATGTATTTATTTTCTTACTAGAATGTATTTGAAATATAAGTATTCACAAAAAGGAAGGATACTCACTGGACAATTTATTAGGCCACCCTATATAAATACCCTCATTTGTGTAAACAATTAAGATAATTTTACTTTGCATCAATTCAACAGGGTTTTAGAAACATTCCTCACAAACCCTTAATGTACCACCGTAAGGGAAATTAAGGTGCATCAGAAGCAAGGGGAAAAGCAATGGAAGCATCCAGATACACACAAGGGAAAGAAAATGTTTTGAGAATAATCATGTCCATAAGAGCAATTTACACCTTTAGAAAAATAACACTGTATCTATTTGAGATTGCATACTTAAACTAAAAGAGATGTGAAATGTAGTTGGAAGCAATTATAAAGTGAAGTAATAAGGCTCTTCTGTGCTTTTATGATGCAGCTGTCTTTCTCTAAAGAAACCCTCTAGAGCTGCAACAGCCTCATGCAAAGGGTGAGGGACAATTTCCAATAATGTAATTATTTTGTCCTTTTTCCTTATATTTTTGTAGACAGAATGACATTTATTGTGTCTACAACACCTGCCTTACCAAGATTTACTTAAAAATATATTTTAGGTATTTGCACGCAAATGATTTAAGTAAAATTTAATGCTGCAATATCAAGTAACACTCACTTGCCAGTATCAACTGAATTTTACTTTCCATAACACATAACAATTTGGAAGATATTAAGTAACATTTAAGTAATTACATTCAAGTTGTAAGTTACATATTGACTTACTTTGTTGCATTACGTTACATTATTAGGTAATAATTGCCAGTTTACTTTTGACAAATGTTACCAAATAAATTGAACCAATAGTCTATACATTTAATATACATTGAACAGTTTAGTTTTCATTTTAAACAGTTCAACAAAGAAGTAAATACCCAATGCAATTGCTCAATGTTTTTCATGGGCCAGCCAGAAATTTGACAGTCTAACAGGAAACCATCCATCCATCCATTTTTGTCACACTTAATCCCAGTGGGTGTCACAAGGTCAATGGGCAAGAGGCGGGGTACACCCAGGACAGGTCACCAGTTCATTGCAGGGCAGCCCAGAGACAAACAGGACAAACAACCATTCACGCACACACCTAAGGAGAATTTAAAGAAGCCAATTAACCTAACAATCATGTTTTGGACTGTGGGAGGAAGATTTGCACCACTGAGCAGCACTCTAACTGGAATCGCACTTTTCAAATATGCAATAAGAAATGTATAACTCTCTAAAACTCAGAGTTTTAATATTCGTAACAGAAATATACTCATATGTAAGATCAAGAATGTTTAATTTACACAAACATGCTCAAAACAACTTCTGCGCGAGGGCCAGAACATAAACAGCCACTTAAACATTTAGCAGTGATGTAAATATCATGTATGCCTCTATTTAATAAAAAAAAAAAAAGCTTGTGCAAATGTAGCATTAATATTAAAAGTGTGTTATGTTGTACTGCATTAGAATTTGTAGCAAGAAAAAAAAAGATTAGGTTGGTATGACCTGTAAACAACCAATACACAGCATTTCATATACACCACATCCAACACAGATCTGGTAATATAGTCACTACTCAAATATTCAATAAAAATCTTATTAACATACAAACTGAAACAGTGCAATTTCATTTGAACCAGTCATCCAAACTAGTAGACTTTTAAGAATGCAATTACAACATTAAGGAAACAAATCAATGCAATAAAAAAAAATTAACACCTTAAACTGTTTAACCATTCTCAATGAAGAATAAAATCTCTACTAGATTTTTGAATAAAGGTATCTGTTATTTTATTGCCATATAACATATACCTTATTTAGCAAAAAATATAAAGCATTAATGACAGGTAAACCTACACTAAGATTAACTGGAACCCACTTCTAATTCTTGGCATTTGTTGCCACATTTTCCTACCCTAAGATGACAAAGTCATGAATGCATTTAGGAAAGCAACTTCAACGTCAGTGTGTTTAATTGTGGGGACAGTTTAAATCCATCAAAATCCAGGAAAAGTTTTTTGAAGACTTTAAAAGTGTAGCACAAAGTGGGAGGGTGCGCCATTTTCGGGGTATATATTAGTCCCATGAGCAGCAAGCAGGCTTTTGCAGTACTGTAGCACCCTGCCAAAATGATTGTCATCGGGACTACCTCCTGCTCTGTGTGTGATCTTGTAATGTCTGGATTCGGAGCAGAATCAGTCCTGCTTTGAGCAGAGTAGAAATTATGATGAATACTCTAATAGAGTTTACTGCACCAAAAAGTCACATTTCAGTGAAGGTAGTTGTTTCAGTTGTAGAAAAGCTGCTGGTGCAACAAGCTGCACCACAAAAGAGTGCCTACAGTCATAAGAATTCTTAAAAGTACTCCAAGAGACTGGAGCTTTTTGAATGGAAAGTGTCTGCTTCGACGCATATTGTATTGTTTTAATAATGTCCATTTTACTGTTCAGGTGAACACCCAGGTATTTTTGAGTCAGAAATGTTGCATAATCAGTTTTTCTGGTCTTATTGTTTAGTTTTGGTCTGACTGAGCAAACTTTAGCTTTATTTTCCTGTGCTCAGCTGACAGAAGCCTAGGTGGAAGTTTATATGAATAAACTTGATCACTCACCCTCATGCAATCAGAGGTTCCTCCTTCTGTGAATGAGCCAGTTAGCATTCAGTTTCCATCTTAAAAAAAAACTTAATTTACAGCTCAACCTTCTACTTTAAGCATCTGACTTGGATCCAACGTCAGACTTTGATTCTGATGACCCCCATTCAATCCCCCTGCATCCCTTTCTCCACCATTCTTGCAAGCTCCATCTGCTTCCCTGTCTATGCTGCTGCCTTGACACTATTAAAGTAATTCCTTGGACTCATACTGCTCTCACAAGGCATCCCCGGTCCGGCAGAATATGTTGAGTCTAATTCTGCCAGAGATTTATTCCCAAGGGGAGTTTTTTTTTCTCTCCACTGTCACTCATGCTTGCTCATCATGGAGACTCTTACGGACCTGCGCCTTACTCCGGCTGACATCCATCTTCATTCCATCTCTGTTCTACCACCAGTTTCAGGCCTAGAGGGCTTCATCCTTGTTCTCATTCAGCAGCTCATGCATATAATCAAAGTAAATTTTAATGTTAATGTACCCTGCAAAGGCCTAAGCACCAAAGACTTAAAATATTGTTTCAATAAAACTCTTCTAATTACCTTCCTTTTGTGAGTTTTTCCAGCTGAACTGCTGAAGACCATCTGATTCAAAGTTATACTGAATAGATATGGTTGCTCATGAAAATTTTAGTACATATTAGCATGTTTTTGAAAATTTAGAATGTCTGTCTGGCACCAACAACCATACTATTTTCAATTAAACTCCCTGTCTTGGAGATTTTGATCCTCACTTTATTCATCAGCAAGTTGTCTTTAGCAATACAGACTAGTAATTATTTAAACAGGTTCGATGAAATATTAGGGGAACTTGTCAGAGACAAATGATGAATTATGCTCTCACCTTTTGGCCTAACCAGCTGTGGAGTGAATTAGCAGCAATTTTTCACATCACTCCTAAAAATCCTTCAAAGTATTTTACTATAGCAGGTTTTATTGTCTAGAGAGTAACAGGATGAATCATGTACTGTTTTATCTCCACTTTAATGGATTTCCTTTCAAACTGTCTCTTATTCTCATATTCAAAGAGCTTAATTTTAAATTAATGCTGAAGGCTTGTTTGTTATTTGATGAACAAAAAAGTTTTTTTGAGAATAATCCATTTGAAACAAATCATCCAAATTATGTACAAATACCAAATACCTTCTTACAAGATATTGATGTTATACATTTTATCTCATATTACTGGATTCAAAAGATAAATCTTGACATTGAATTTTAGAAACATATAATTTAAGGACATTACTTCATAAACAATGAGACTGTTCATGAGTTTGAGTAAAATGTATTGTGTAAAAAATAAAAATTAAGATAAAATCATAGGAAATCAGCAAAAGGAACCCAATGATTATGGCTGCAGTTCCTTACCGGTGAAAGGTTAATTATTTGATTTCCATGATTCATTACTTAACTCCTCAAATTCAAGGACCCTCTAGAATTTGAAAACAACTTTCACATAAATCTTCTGAAATTACTTTTGACATTTTAGAAAGTGGATACTTGGCTTTTAGAAGCACATACCAGACATACTTAATAACTAAATTGCACTGATAGTGCTTTCAGCATTATCTGCCTCCCTTTGTAAGGATGTGTAAAAAGTCTGTAACCTAACTTAATTCATACTTCAATTAAAGTACATTTATTAGGTGGAGCAGAAATGCCACATTATAAAAAAGATCAGATGAGAAGAAAATGTAAGGACTTTGGCCTACATGTAAAATATAATGAATGATAAAAAAAATAAAATAAAATAACAGCAATTAGTTCAGAGTTTATGGTCATTTGAATACAGCTAAAAAGGACGCTGATAGAAGAAATTAACAATTAAAGAATCATTGTCACAGGGTGAAAGCTTCCAGCAGGACCAAATGTTCTCAACATATAGAGCTATAAAAGATTGGTGAACCAAATTTTGTCTTAAAACTGACCAGCTAGATCTTAATCGAGTTATGGATCTGGGCCCGGTCTTAGATTTGTATCAACTCTGACAGAGCTTGAGCTATTTGGAATAGAATACAGAGGAAAGAACCTTATGTCAGTCTTTAGATATATTAATTCAAGATGTTCATCCAAAAAGCAGTTTCTTGAAATAAATAGCTATAACGAAATGAATTCTTAATGGTCGAATAATCTGTAAAAAATAAACACCCTAGAATATATCTTCCATGTTGCTCTACAGGTACTTTGCATTTTTCTTTTACATACATTTCTATTGAAGGACATTGAGGTTTTTGATTGCGGTATAAAAAAAGCTTGAGAATATCAAAAAAGCAGAATTTTTTTTGCATGGCACTGCATTTGAAGACAAGACAAAGGCCTTGGAAGACAGAA